AACCAGGGGGAAGCAGAACCCAAACCCCAGTGCTGCAAGGTTGCAGGGCGGCTGACCATTGTCTCATTGTGTCTTATATATTTATTGTTACTTCAATGTAATCAAATCACATGGCCGCCCTTATTCATTGAAGCAGAACAACAAACCAACCAAATCAGCCCCCAGCAACCAATCAGACGTCAGTATGAAGATACCACTCCAATGAAAGACAAGTTCCCATTGGCTGCTGTAGGATTCCATATGGATGGAAAACCCATAGAAGTGGAATACGGTATTGCGTATGTGGGAAACCTCCGTCCCTCCAGCTGTGGGTGCAACTACAAGTCCCATGAGGCATTGCAAAACTCTGACAGCCACAGGCATGACTCCCAGAGGCAGATGCATGATGGGAGTTGTATTGTCATCACAGGTGGGGGAGTTTGCCCTGGTCTGTCAGGAGAGGGATGTGGACGGGTGGATTACCTTGGCAGTACTGACAGTCTTCTAAATGGTGGATCACCATCAGCGGTTTATTGCTGCAAGAAAAAGCCGGGCGTGAACAATGACATCACAGCGGACATAATGACATCACAGCAGACATAATGACATCACAGGGACATAATGACATCACAACAGATAATCATCTTCTGACAGTGCCGGGGGCTCATTACATTGTTACCAGAAAACAAGACACAAGTCCATCGAGTTCCACCAGAAGAACAAAACAAAAAACACGTCTTCTTCACCTGTAACCAGATTTCATCTATTTAAAGGAGAACTATGGGGTTAGGGCTTTTCCCCATAGTTCTCCTTAGGGTAACGGGAGGACACATACTAGCGTCCTCCCGTCACCCATAGCTCAGTATATACTAAGACCGCCGCAGCCGGGACGGATCCCGACATTACTGTCGAGATCCACCCAGCTGCCTAATTGACAGCGGGCTCTGCCTATCTAGAGGCAGACCTAGCTGTACCCACCCCCTCCCCCGTCCGTTCCACCTGTCAGCGCTGGAGGATCGGAGCGGGGAGGGGGGGAATCCCTGAGGGGAGCCGTGAGTGACAGTCACCTCTCTCTGCAGGGACAGTATAGAGAAGTGTTTTGCCTGATGAAGGGGATCCTGTGTGACCCCGAAACGTCGCATTAAGTGTGCTATGCTGCTTTGCATGTACGTCAATAAATAGACGTATTCCACTTGCTATTTGGTGTGCCGGTATCCATGTTTTTTCGCAGTATAGAGAAGTGAGCGAGCGACGGTATGTGTTCGCTCACTTCCCGATCTATTAAGCCGACGTGTGACAGTTTCATTGTCACAGGTCGGCTAGAACTATGAGGATCAGTGATTTTCACTCACACCATAGTTCTCCTTTCATTAAATACTTAAATATATTTATTTAGGGCAGGGAACGGTGAGAACCTCTGTCAGGGTTTTCTAGCTCTGTGTCCCCGCTGGGGAGATCTCACTTTACTTCCTGTCCTAGAGATTTCCTGTTATATGGGTGAATGGAAAGTCAGACCAGGAGCCCGATGAGACCTGGTGGCCAGTTTGCCGGGACGAGCTAACCAGTGAAACACGAGGATGTGATTGTAACAATGTGTGTAATAAAGACGTGTCACAGAGGGAGTGAATGATACATTACACATGATACAATAAGTAAAACCGGTCAACAAATGGCAAGCCACAAGGGTGGCTTCATAGGACTCTGCAAGGGAAAGGAGCCACCCTAACACAGGATATCGGGGCCGGTGCTCAGGGGACCAGCTGATTCTGAAGGAAGATAAAAGTTCTACACATAGAGGAGCGGCCTCCATTGTAAGTGATTTCATCAGCATTGGAAATAGCTTGAAATCCTTTTGACTTTATTATTGCTTTAAAATAGACTATGGATGCACTGATACAATTGTTTCCACACTGAGTACCGATACCTTTCCTCAAGTACTCGCCGATACCATTGTTTTAGTGTCATGTGACAGTTTTTCCTAAAACAATACGGACTAATGATTTTAGGACAGTGGTGGAGCGTCAGAGCCCGGAAGCAGCTTCAACCGCTGCGACCCTGGCAGTTCTTCCACTGACTCCAAGCTATAGAAGACTACAAATCCCAGCATTACATTATACAGCAACGCAGAATACCACCAGCTGTAGGAGGACTACAAATCCCAGCATTACATTATACAGCAACGCAGAATACCACCAGCTGTAGGAGGACTACAAATCCCAGCATTACATTATACAGCAACGCAGAATAATAGTATATGTATTGCTAAACACTCTGTGCTGCCACTCTGCTCCGGGGTGCCAGTCTGATGTCTTTGGTGGAGGGTCACAGGAGGCGGAGACCTGCTGAAGGAGAGGAAATCCCTCTCAAGTGAGAGAAATCCCTGGTGGTCACCAGAACTAGTGACCTCATTTGAAGATTTGCATCTTTTCCTGTTCTGGTGACAACCCAAAATGCTGGATTCACTTTCAGTGATAACATTCACCAGGACAAATAGTGAGGGTGAATTTCCCTTAAGGTGCCCAAATCCCGCGATCGTACGAGAATCGTGCAGTGTATGGAAGGCGTGCGACCGTTTCTACTGTACGGTCGCACGTCTTCCATCGAACAAGCAGGCTGGAAAACCCGCCGGGAATCGTACCATTCTCGGCGAGTTAGTGGCCTGCTTGTTCGACAACTGGCGAACGGGCCGGTGTGCCCACGCGCAGACTGCCCGTTTGCCGTCCTTGCAAGCCCGCCCGTCATTGCAGTCATCGCAAGCCCGCCCCTCAAGGGGGCAGGCTTGCGATGATCGAGAGTACGATCTGCCTGTCCAACATGGGCAGATCGTACGTTTTTTTAAGTACTTTACAACCCTCGCAAGACAAAAGTCTTGTGAGGGTTGTAAAGTGTATGGCCACCTTAACAGGGACACAGCCAGCAATAAAAACCTGGCAGGTGTTCTAATCCCTCTCCACTCTATAGAAGCTTTGGCTTCAGTTGCACTTCATACCACAGAGGACACTTGGTGGGGGGGATCACTGATTGGTTGCTGCCATCTAGTGGAAAAGTCGAAAATAGAAAATGAGTAAGTGACTCAGGACATAGAAGCCTTCGGATTAATACGACCGATGGGAAACGAGCATTGTGAACATTGAACAATGACAGGCAGGATATATTACCAGACATGGGGGGAGCATCAATCATTTACCTTCATCATAAAGGGTGCAATGATACTGTAAAGGCAGCACTGGTGCTTTGTGATTGGCCGGTGTGCTGGTGGTTGGGCCAAGGCTGCCGTTACATCATCAGTGCACAATTGCGATTAACCACTGTGCCGGCGGTTGGGCCAGGGCCGCCGTTACATTATCAGTGCACCTTTGCGATTGGCCGCTGTGCCGGCGGTCGGGCCAGGGCTATACGGGGAAAGCCCAGGCTCACTTCAAGGGGGAGAATGCAACAGGGACGATAAGACCCCCATGTTCTGGGTGGACTGACCCTTTATGGAGCATTCTAAAGGTCCACTTACCTCTTTTTTGCATTGTACAATCCCTCCTCGTACGTCTGGACCCAAGTGATGTCATCTCCCCACCCTGCAAGAGAACATGGTGATTGACAGACCCGTATGATCATTCACAACTGTATCAGAACTATTCGCTGGACTGCGACTGCTCATCTATGATCCTCATACATGGTGACATTGTAAGGGGCCAACACTTCACATTCATTGATAAAAAAAACACGGGACGTTCTCTAAATGGCCGATGTGCCGAGCGAGGAAGGGAGCGAACCATTGTGCAGAGGGGAAGTCAGTCGGCACAGCGGCAGTTCCAGGACCTGGAAGAAGCTGCAAAGCTCCGGCTACTAAAATGTTTTAGAGGAACCCCCGCGGGCCGACCAGGTATAAAATATATACACCGACATCCGGCCAATCCGGGCCAATGTTACATTTATAGAAGGATTTATATCTGGAGCTCAACATTAAAGGGAAACTCCACTTTAAAAAAATATAAAAATTAAAAAATCATTAAAAAATAAATATAGCAGATATAAGTGTCACACAATCATTTTGAAATGCAATGTTATTAAAAAATGACCTTTCTAATTAAAACTGTAGCCGCTGTAATGTTCAAAAAAATTCAATGCAATATGGAGACCTGGAGGCGTTCTGTATACAGTTGATGTACAGAACACCGCCAGAAATGTCACTTCCTGCTCCTGTGTTTGGCTGACTGATTAACCCAAAGGTTTGCACTAAGATACAAGTATCTTTTTTGGCATCCCTTGCAATAGGAGTTTTATTTTTGGTGAGATACTCCCTGAGGGTTAATTACTCCTAAAGGGATGCCGACACTGCTCCTTTCCTCATTACAACACAGAAAGTCCACCAGCTGATTATAATGAACCCAACAATCCCATTCTGGGATCTGACCCCTCCCATTCAGGGATCAGACCCCTCCCATTCAAGGATCAGACTGGAGAGGACGCGCTGCAACAAACAGATATTTCTTCAGAAACAGGTCACAAACTGCAACAAAGTTTGTTACAATCCTTCCAATATGTACACAGATCACCCAGAGGGGACTATTTTTTTTTTCTCTCAACAAAAGTGTAATTACCCTTCAAGTACTTGGCCTAAGCAGAATCTCAAAAAAGAATTTAGGAAAACTCTGTTTTCATTGGTAACTAAGGATGAGTTGAATTACAAATTTTTCAGGAAAATCAGATTTTGCTATTTCGGCAAATTGCTTCAATTGGGAAGGCGAAATCAAGGCTGGTTTTAAAGAATGCTGTGGGCTTGTATTGGCTCGTAAGGGCTCATTCACACGTGCGTGGCCGTACCGGGCAGCTCCTGGGAAGGACAGGTGCTGTGATTAGTACACAGCCCCCGTCCTTCTCTATGGGACTACACCGCTCTACGCTCACCTCAAGTGCAGGTCCGTGCGGGTGCGTGTGTCCTGGCTCGGACGCAGAGAGGATACATCCTGTCAGCGTACGAGTACGGACACCCGCACGGACATGCAGGACGGGTGAGTGTTATTTCCTATGTGCACGGTTCCCACCTGGCCGTATTTCAGCGCGTCGGAATGCGCTGAAAAACGCCCTACGCCCAAAGAAGTACAGGAGCTTCTTTGGGGCGTATTTCCGTGCCTATCCATTAGGATACAGCCGGATAGCCCACGTAAACGCGCGTTTGGCGCGTGTTTCGTGGGCCGCAAATCGCGGTAAAAACGCGCGGCCCGAAACGCGCATATTTCAAACGCCCAGGTGGGAACCCAGCCTAAAACTTCCCGAAAAAAAATTCAACATAAAATAAATAAATAAAATAAACCAAACAAAATACAACTTCCACCCATAAAAAATAAAATACAAAGAACTCTAAATAAAATAAAATTAAACTACCCAAAGTACAATCCCCTCTGAAAATAATAATAATAATTAAATATAATTAAAAATACACAAATACAAAGAACTCCCCAAAAAAACTACCCAAAGTACAACCCCTGAAAAAAAATAAAAAAGGAAATTTAGCCCAAGCAGCTCGGAAGTTGAGAACTTCCACTTGGCGGAATCGGTAATTTTGGGGTGAAATCCACTGAGATCTCTCCCCTCCTCCCTCCTGGTGATGGTTTTACAAGCTTTATATCAGGGGCAGCCAAACTCCGGCCCTCCGGCTGTGGTGAAACTACAAATCCCATGATGCATCTCTCTCATGTCTGTGGCTCTGTGAGAATCTTGCAATGCCTCATGGGATTTGTAGTTCCACCACAGCTGGAGGGCCGCCGTTTGGCTACCCCTGCTTTATATACAGTAGTCAGTGCCTAACATCGGCCGCACAACCTCTAGAAAGCGTCTGCAGGCGACTTTCCTTCTTCACGGCCATGGCGCGGTTGGAGGAGAAGGTGACTACGATGAGCCATACAGCCAGCGAGGACAGAAACATGGCGCCTCCCGCTCGTCGTTTTGCTGGGCGGTCCTGCAGGAAAATAAGAGAGAAAAATGTGTTAACAATGTTTTTGCCAAAAAATGGAAATCCTGCTATAGTAATGTGACCGGCTTCCCCCCCCCTCCCCCATCTCCATGGGACACTGCAGGATCCACCCCATCCGCCTGCATTTTATGAATGGGCTGTAAATACATTCCACAATGTGGAGTGACCTGGTGGAGTATATAACGGAGAGCAAGATCTGCCCTCTATTATTCATCGGCCCCGTTGTCGGCATAGTGGGCTCCTGACTTCATTTTATAGGGCTATGGGAAGGACAATGATAACGGGCATTAGCTATTGGCAACCAATCAAATTTCATTTTTGGCGGGTGGGGATCAGGGATATGAAGGTGAGTGGCAATGAAACCCCCCTCCATATTTAGCACAGTGTTGACAATTTTATACATAAAGTTTTTTGTGTGTGAGAGGCCATAGGGAGTCTGTTAGATCATCACCAGCAGCTGTGTTCCAGGATCACCAGGCTACTGATCATAGGGATTGGTGGGGAGGACTGGGGCACTATAGCATTGGTGGGGAGGACAGGGGCACTATAGCAATGCTGGGATATAAAACTGAACTCTTCAGCACTAATGCCAGGTCCAGAGTCACCAGCAGCTGTGTTCCAGCATCACCAGGCTACTGACCATAGGGATTAGTGGGGAGGACTGGGGCACTATAGCATTGGTGGGGAGGACTGGGGCACTATAGCAATGCTGGGATATAAAACTGAACTCTTCAGCACTGCTGCCAGATCCAGCGTGTTCCAGGATCACTGACAAAAGGAATTTATGGGGTAGGCAGGTGCACTATAGCAATGGTGGGATAAAAACCAGGTCTAGTGTCACCAGTTGTGTTCCAGGATCACCAGGTTACCAACCATAGGGATTGGTCGGGTGGACGGTGGCTTTATAGCAATGAACTGAACTGCTCAGCACTCCTGCCAAACCTCGGGCTTATACAGTATGTGGCATAGAAATTTACTAATCACTAGCAGTGCTCAGAATGAGCACTTCTGAGCCCTGATGCAGGGGGGTCTTTGTAGCCCCCGAAATGCATCGGCTTGTCTTTGTTTCCCTACGTTATACAGCTGGGTGCTCTGCGCACACACCCCGCTCATTTACCCAGCCCAGGAGCATTAATACCCTTCACTATGCCGAGCCTCACATACCGGCACTCCCTCGTTCTCGGGGAAGCAAAGAATGTGACAGACAATCCAGATCTCAGTATTGTACCATCTGCGTCTAATATACAACGCGGACTGATAATGGAACCGCGTCTTCGTGACGCCAATCCGTCTCTTACTATCTACACCACGGAGCAAAGTCCAGGAGAGAAGTCGTTGCCAAAGCCGTCCCTCGTGTACAAGGACCGTGCCTTTATATAAGGCAAAGCCCTCGGCCCTTCTCGCCTCCTCACTGTTATTTTATGAATGCTAAAATGAAGGAAAATGGATCATTCTTACACCAAATTTGTCATGGTCCATGTGACCGAGGGGGTGACAGGGTGGTGCCCATTGCCTGCAGGCGGCCGCTGTCAACCATTCATTCTAGAAAATACTTCTTTCTTGGCTGATTGATGTTTATTAGAGTTCAGCTCTGGGCTATTTTTAATAACAGATATACTGCAGTCTTTGTATAAAACATCAGAGTTTTTCATTGCAGTACCTTTTCTTGTCCACAAGATGTCCTCAGTCTTCCGGGTTCAATAAAGCCCTGCATCTCTCAACCCAGAAGACTGAGAACATACTGTGAGTGCAGGGCGTCTTGGGTCTACCCCCTGAGGGGGCATCATCCTGGCTTCCTGCTTTCACTGTGTACAAGATGCAAAGAGCGGTGTTGATGTCATCACACCAGCTGCACTCCCTGCACAGCTTAGAGTCACCCAGCCCCAGAGAAGAGGTGAAAAGACATCATGTGACTAGTCTGAAGACTTCACAAAAGGGAATAAAAGCATACAATATTGCCTATATAGGACCCTCCGGGTGGGAAGTGGGGGGTGGCCTCCAAGCCTGGAGTTGGGGCTCCAGGCTCCCGGCATCATTGAGAGAAACCCAGAGGTGAGGTGGAAAAGAGGTGAAAAGACATCATGTGACCAGCCTGAAGATATCACATAAAGGAAAAAATAAAATACAGCCTAGGGGACCTGGGTAGGAAGGGGTGATTGGTGGGTTCCAAGCCTGGATTTGGAACTACAGGCTCCCTGTGCTCCTGGCATCATTGAGAATCACCCACCCCTAGGAAGAGGTGAAAAGACAACATGTGACCAGCCTGAAGACTTCACAAAAGGGTCAAACAGCATAAAAATGTGC